TTGTAATGTATAACTCTCTTTAGAATCTCTAAAGGAGGTTATCCTCTTGTTCTATAATAAATAAAGATTTAAAATACACTATTCTAATACCAAACTGCTTACCTTCTGCTATGGATATTTAATTATACTTCACATCCACCTCATGTATATTCCAGTAGCAAAATCCCTGCACCGGGTGATCTTGTTACTATGCTATGTAGTTACAAAGAAGGCTATAGCATTGTAACAGTATATAACTTTACTTAAAAAATATCTAATAAGTCTAATTATGAAGTTGGGTTATAGTAAATGAATAGATAAGTTATGAACTAATCTAGATACTCTCATATAAGTCATAGATATCCTCAATTTTAGAAGTATTCTTATTAATTGGCTTGGGTGTAGGAGCTAGAGTTTCAGGTTTAGGCTCTGGATCTGAGTCAAGGTCAGAATTTGAAGTATTACCCTCAGTATAATACTTTCTAGAATTAAAACAGTCTATTTTATATCTTATTGCAATTTTGCTAAGAAATTCAAGATGTTGCGAAGTTGAATTTTGACCGCCATGAACTCTAGAAGCATGTTTATCTCCAATTTTTCTTAATCTTTTGGCTGTAATACCATATGGTTTTAAGAATTTACTAAATACTCCTATACTGCATTTTCTACTAATACTATAGACAGAATTGCGTAACTTTCTGGTTGCTATTGTATCTTGGATTCAGGTAAGCAATTCTTTTGCACATTCTGAATTCTTTTCCATGAATAGAAATTGCCGAGGTTCGGGATTATTTTTTGCTTCTCCTTTGTTTTTAATATACCTGATACAATACCAAGAATAACCAGGCTTGTACCATTCAGGAGGATTCAATTCACCAGGTTTATAATGGATAATACGAAGAGTGGCAACTTCGGTGGGTTTTATGCTTAATATCATAATTACATCTGCAAGATCTTGCATAGTAGGAATTTTAGTAGTATTGATATTTTGAATTTTTCTAAGTCCTTTCTTTAAGAAAAAGTGGTTGGGAGCTTTAGGTGGGTTAGATAATTGCTATTCGAGTTGTCTCTTTTGAATTTCATTAGAAGCTTGAGTAACTTCTGGCAATTTGGCATATATATTAATTTGCTTAGAACCAACCCTAACTTCTGCTAACTCTCTATGAAATTGCAAAACGTGAGAACTGGCTACTACAATTGCTTCATCTGTATTATTTTTTGGCATAGCTAAGTCTAAAGCATGTAACCAAATATTTCACACATCTTCAGTTTTTGCACAATATTGAGCTCTTTCCTTGATAGTAAGTTTTTTCCCCTTTTTGTCTAGTACAAAAGCTTCTATTTGATTCTCTTTGAATAGGTGCTAGCAAAGAGCTTCTTTCACATCTTTACGAGCCTTCCAATCATAGCATAGTACCAAGCTCATTGGCATAAGCATGTAATTGGAGCAGGTTTGATTTAGCTGATAGATTATATTTTTTTAGGATCTGATTCAAAATGGAGGTAAAGTTATTAGTTTTGGGTTTTCTAGTTTTTTGAACAGTTGCCATGATAGGTATATAAATATTATATCGATAAGTAGATTGTAATTATATATTAATCTACTTATTTTTTTTAATTTGAAATTAATTATCTTCGTATACAAAATGACAACTCTCACCGACGATCCCTCGTACCGAAATTTTTGGGAAGAATCCAACTCGAAAAACAAGAAACCCGATATACAATACACTTGGTGAAATGAATAATACCATAAGCCAGCACCTATCGTTTAGAGGTAGTTCTTATACACTACCTGCCAATAGGCTTAGAGTTTATCACTCACTGCAGGGACGGCAACTGTCGTTTAGAAGTAGTTCTCATACGCT